GTATTTGGATGTGTGTACAACAAAGCAACACCTTCAGTTTGAGAGAGGCTTCTAAATGTAGATAAATTCACAGTTGGATATTTGCTGTGAATAAGAGATGATTCAGGAAAAAAATTATAAATAAGCAAAATCTGCAGTAGTTCTTTTAAAGCAGATAGGCCTATTTTAAATGTACTTTAAAATTTAATGTGTGATTTTAATAGCATGTTCATGTTCCCACAGAATCTTAATTTTAAGACTTATTTTTATGAAACAGGTGGTATAACCTTAATAGAATTTAATAAGGCCAGCATTTCATTAGTTTTCAAAATAAGAAAAAAAAAAGTGGGTGGAAACTTTTGCTGTCAATTAAAAAAAATCAGCTTATATCTTTATAAAACCAAGAAAAGATACATTCACACTGTATCACTTATGGATCTGTTTTATTTTTTTAAAGCACATGAAAAACACCACAGTTTATTTTTGCAAGTCGCTAATGAAGCTGGAATGGGCTAGGAACAAACACATGGCCACAAAGTCAGATAGTCTCTCAGGTACTTAAAATTCATGTGGATTTCAAATTTATTGGCTGGAAATGATAGGAAATTCCCATTTAGGTCCCATTTTTCTGGCTCCAAATTGCTCTAAGCACATTGGTGGGTTGTTGTTGTTTTTAACCACAACAGTTATGTTAATAAAATTTGAGTCTGAAAATGTGATAGGGAAAAGCTGTTTTGTATTCTGGCTTGACATGAAGAGCCAGGAGTGCAGGTAAAACCTTTCGAAGGGATACAATCATTGTAGAGAATTTTCCATGACTTTATGTAACTGTGTTGCCAATCTGGTAATGCCTTTTAAAGAGTTTCTAATTAATGTTTCTAATTAATGTTTAGTGATAACAGAATGAATATTTGTCATGGAACACACTGTGTTATTGGCAGGAGGAGGGAATCAGGTGTCCCATCACTTTCTTTACTGTTTCAAATCTTATGTGTGAGACACATTAGGCTCTAGTATCCAAATAAAATAACATACTTTCTTTTAATAGGATTGTTCCATTGGAAGTCTGTGCCAGACTGCTAGCTCATTGATAAAGTGGGAGGGAGCCCTTTAACAGAAACAGTACTTCATCTAACATAAAATACAGCATTTAAAGAAAAAAGTCTTTTTTTTTTTAATTGAATGTCCTTGCTTTGAGGCCAGCGGTAATCTGGGTCTCAAACTGTGCTTGTTGCTCTGAGTTTAGTTATAGGATGGAGGATAAGGAAGGTGGGCAGTTAAAATAGAACACTGTGCATTTACTTGCCTGGGAAGGGTTGCTATGAAATGAGGTCACTCAGAAACTTCCCCCTTGAAGTGCTTCCAATTCTTACATTGCCTTTTGTTTGGGAATTGAATAGCAAGTTGATTAAAAAAAAGGGGGGGAGGGTGAGACAATTAAGGAAGGTGGGGGATGGGATGAGAGAAGAGCTTGGGGGTTTTAGCTCCTAGGACTGAAACTGAAGGGTCCCAGAAAAAAAGTGAAAGCTCTGGCCATCCAGTTCCTCACAGTTATATCTGCCATGATGTCAGCATGTAGGTTGTGCAGATGGGAGAGGCTCACTCCTGTGGGTGCTGTTTTAACTTCACCAGAATGCTAAATAGCTCCATGGAATCTGAAGGCTTCGGCAGCAAGCCAGTGGGGCTAACCATCAACTAAACCCAACTAGCAAAACATGATACCGGATGACTCAGTTTAGCATAAAATGAATCAAAGGGGTTACATTTCTTTATATCTTTTAACTCCACCTTCTGTCATTTTAAGCTTTCCATGAGGAAGAGAGGGATATTTGGAGGGTGATATTTTCTTTAAGCTTAAGACATTTTAAAAGTTCAGTTTTTAAAACTGCTGCTGTGTATGGGCTGAGATCACGGAAACATAATAGATATTTGAAATAAGAGCTTAGATCGGAAGACTGCTGTTAGCCTGTGTTGCTTGTCCCCTCCCCCCAACACACACACACACACACTCACACACACACACACATCCCTACATGTAGGCCTGTGGCTTCTGTTCCATCATTTATATATTTGTAACTTCACTATTCAAACTCTGCTGTACTCCATAAGCTTTCCTTGGTTTATATCTCTATATCCTTTAAATTCTTTTGTATCTGACCCTGGTCCTTCTTCTAACTTTAAATGGGAAAAGCAAATGTGCTTTGAAAAGTATGTTACACTGTAGTTGTTAAATAAAGCAGTAACCTATGCACTCATAATGCTTTCTCTATGACCTACTTACATACAACTTCACCCTCCTTATAGTATGATTAAAAGCTGCTTTGAATCCACTATTCCCTCAAGGGATTTGAGGCTAGAATTTAACAAACTGCTGAGAAGGCTTAAGTCAGTAAGAGGGCTTCCCTACAGCTTCTTCCAGCTAATTCACATACAATTAAAAGGAAAATAAATATTTCAAAAGACTGTACATGTTAATGAATAATGTTTCACCTTATAGAATGGGTTACTTAACCATATACAGTATTGAGATTTGTTTTAGAAGTTGATTTTTCTACATGGTTTTTAAAAACAGGTTTCCTTTGGGGGATGTTTTGGAGGGTCAATTTTGTTTGGCCATATGGAGAGAGATTTACTATTTATGGTGTATATTATTCATTTACTCCTTATTTTAAGTCTCTTGCACTCCTAAATAATACATGCCAAACTGAAGGTCAAGGATCGTCTCTGTCAGTCCAATCAACCTCTTCTGTAGAATAGTAAAGTAATTAAAAAAAAAACAACCCACCAAAAACAACAACAAAACCTTCATATTTTTCTGGTCAGTAGGAATAAGTGGGCTTGTGGACAGTGTCTGGCAACAGAGGGGAATCGGGCTGTATAGACATAAGACAGTTTCATTCAGTGCTTTTTTTTCAATTCTATATGAATTTAAAACTGATACCTCAGCAATGGAGAAAATATTTTAAAACTAAGGTAAATCCAATTCTTGCTATGATTGATTCACTATTGTGGAGGTGGAAAGTCAAAAGTCCTATGTTAGTTCAGCTGAAGGAAATTAGGCCAGCGTCTTGGAAGGATGAATTGAACTAAATCTTCCAAGGTCCATTACCTTATAGTACTCAGGGTACCATATCTGGATAATACTGGTACGTAAATGTCAGCTTTACCACTTAACTGGTGAAAATGGTAGGTACTCTTCTTGTAGGCTTGTGGAATCTAAATCAGAATAAAAATGTTTTCTTCAGTGGTGGCCTGTTCTGAATATAGCATTCAAAAGGACTTTGGTAGAAGATAATTATCTTTTCCCCCCACATTGTGACTTCTAATATCTCTAACTACACATTACTTAATTGGTTAACTCTGACTATGCTTTCATTTATTTGACAGAATAAAATAGCCCACCTCCTAGAGCCCAACATTCTGTAGGGTTTTGCTTGACACTTAGTAGCTGTGTGGCCATAAACAAGTCACTTAACTTCCTTCAGCCTCAGTTTCCTCATCTGCAAGAGAAGGATCATAATACTATCTTTGGCTGTTGTGAGGAAAATGCTTTGTTAACCTTAAATCGCCATACAAGTGAGAGATATTATTGTCATTATCACTATTATTATGTTAATTTAATATCTGGTTCTATGATGGATAAGAAGATTGAAAGAAAATCAATGGATTTGCAAAAGAGGCCTTGCAGTGCCATCCTGTATACTAACAGCAATGAAGTGAAAAGTGGTACCAGAACGGGGAAGCACGGGAATTGTAAACTTCTAGACTACTTTGACCGTGCAGGTTTTAAAATGTGAAATACACCAAAGCAGATCGAGTATCATTTTGTGAACTGTTCAGTTGTTTCAAAATCCATTTATTTGAACAAAACAATATTAAAAATCAACGTTACCACAGCATAATGTGAAATACTTATTTTTCCAACACACCCTCAAACCACCTTCTAAAGATCATCTCACCTTCTTCTGTCTATTACTAATGGAGATTTTTGCCACTTTCCCCAATTCCATTAAATGTAATCATTCCACATATTTAAATAGACATTTTAGCTGAATAGCTGCTACATCTGACAACTTAATATAACTCATCCTGTTGGATTGTCGCGTGTCTAATAGTAGGAATTTATACATTAATGATTTATCACCCGTAGGAGAAGATAAAATGTGCTATTTCTGTCGTCTCATACTTGAAACTTACTTTTTTTCAGAATTTCAACATAATGCAAAAAGAATTGTTTCTGTGCAGGATTAGTTGTTTTGTTTTGTTTTGTTTTTTTCCCTTCTTCTTTCCCTTTTACATGTTGAACTAAGTTCCTAAATGTAATCTTTGATTATTTAGGCAAGATATAATTTACCGGATATATTTTCCTAATTAAATCACTAAGTCCAGGTAAGTTATTTCTAGAAAGGTCACTCGATGGCAATTCTGCCTTATAAAGCAGCCTACTTAAAGCTCTTTATCTTTCTTTTTATTGCTAGGGCTTGCCGGTTGCTTTTTTTTTTTTTTAACTTTGTACTGAAATTGGCCTTGGAAACATAGTCACACCACTCCATGCTATCAGGTCTGGTTATAAAGGCTTTATTGTCGGTTGAATGCCAACTGGGAAGATTTTTTAGAGAACTCATTTACATTTCCAGATATTGTTGGAACTGCAAAAGTATTTGTTGCAATAGTGCCTTTCCCAAGCAAGCCCTTTCTTGCTTTGCTGTTCTTCTTCATGGTAGGATCTTTGCTCCTTCCGCCCCCCCCTTCCATTTCAGGGGTCGTTGCGGGGCGGGGAGGTGGGGAGGTGGGGAGAGCACCACCTTAGGCGGAGTTGCAGGGGTTAAGCTGTAGCTGCAGTGGGAGCGTAGCCCCGCCCCTTCTTTCAGCACCTGGTGCTCTATAGACAGTTGCCTCAGCAGTAGATTTCAGAGGGGATTGGAGGAAAAACAAGAGAGGGGGAGAGAATGTGACAACTGCCGCTTTGGGTTGCTGCCTTGGGGGGTGGGGGGAGGCCTCCCGCACCTGTCCCTGCCTGTCTCTCAGCCAGCCCAGTCGCTGAATCAGACCCAGCCCGGAGCAGGCATCCCTCATCTGCCAGACCCGGGAGCGAGCGGTTGCCCCGTAAAGAACATGACTTCTTCCTTCAAGCTGGATTTCCTCCCGGAGATGATGGTTGATAGCCGCTTGCTAGTTTCAGAGAGAATGTAAGTGGAGCCCTGGCCGCCCCTGCCCGATGCAGCAGCATCTTCGGAGCGAGCTCTGGTGCCTCTGAGGGGGCAGAGCGTGGGGGGCTGGAGGGAGGGCGGCGGCAATGGGGAGCGTTCCGAGGACACCTTGGGCCATTTAAACAAAGCTCGCTGCTGCTGCCTCCGCTGCTGCTGCTGCTGCTGCCGCCGCCGCTGCCGCCACCGCCGCCGCCGCTGCTGCTGCCGCTGCCTCCACTGCTGCTGCTGCTGCCTCTGCTGCTGCAAAGTCTCGTTTATCTGGAACCTCTCTGGAGGGGACTGAGGAATTTGCAAGCGGTTGGCATTCTTCTCTGCCTAGAACGGAACGGTAGTTGGTTGGGGGAGGGGGGAAAAGGAGGGGGTCTCCTCCACCCTCAGTACCCCCCAACCCCCCAAATATCCATAGATTAGCTGCTTCTCTGGTTTTCTGGCAGGAGGCTGGCTCCTTGAACGCGGTGAGGAGGCAGAATGCTTCCCCCCCCCCCAATTCTATCGCGGTGCCATGTGAAAATGCGGGCGAGCTCAGAGCAGATGAGCACACTTTCCCTCAGGTCCAGTGACATTCCAATGTAGATGGAGGCGCACGCGCGCCAGCGTGCATGCAGGCATGCATGCATGCATGCGTGTGTATATGTGTGTGTGCGTGTGAGTAACAATTTGGGGTGGATAGGTATTTTTGCTAGCTCCTTCCAAGAACATAATTAAAGATTCTGCAAATTACACCCCCTTCCTATCAGACTTGAAATTTGTAAAGGTTCCTTGTTTTCTAAGGGGGGAAAAGGTTGTAAAGATGGGAAGAGGGGAGGGCGGTGGAGAGAAGTGGAAGAAGGGATAATTATAAAGTATTAAAATAGCCAGGTGTACTCTAGCGCGGAAATTACAGGTATTTTTTTTTTACGTAATCATGATGGTTTGTCTGATAATGCACTGTGTAATTTAATAATTAATGTGATTCGAGTTGTCTTAAAATGTAGTCAAATCGAAGTAGGTAACACTTATTGGAAGAGGTACGAGTGTTGGAATTCGTAAAGAAAAGGAGCATGTCTAATTTTATAGCTGCCTTCATTGATCTGGATATGAAAGTTTCTTCATCAACTCAGGCGCTCTTGGGTCAGGAGGATTTTACAGGTACTCCAAGTATCTTGAAGGAAGGAGGGAAGGAGAAAAGGAAGGGAGGGAGGGAAGGAAGGGAGGAAATGTTTGATTTCGAAAGGAGATGATATAGAAAGTGGTGGAATTTTTTAGACAGACTATAGATTTCATCTAAGACTCCATAAGAAATTATGATCTTTTTTATTTAAATTACTCCTTAGCAAGAGTCGTGATGATGACTGTAGATCATAATAATGCCATGGGGGGAGGGGAAGTACTATATTGGTAAGAGTGCATATGTAAATAATATTATTCATGTCCTACTTGCTGGAAGGTTTACCATCCATAATTCTTTCTGAAGCTTTTCACATACTCTTGACTGTGTCGAGACCATTGAGGGCTTTATGATTCATTTCCCTGGCAACTAACTTTCCCCCAAGGTGCTAGATTCTTTTTCTAGTATGTTAAGTGTTATGAGTTGAGAGCTTTAGTGGTAGCCAATTGTTTCAGCAGCTGAGATTAAAGGGGGGGGGTGACGAGTAGAGGAGGGGAGAGGTTGATAGTAGAATGGGCTGAAAAGTGAATGACCAAGCACAATTTATGTAATACTTGCCCTCCTCGTGTAGAATGTCACTGTTTGTAAACATGATCAGGTCCATTGTTTCAACTGAGATAATTAGATAAATTAAAATACTGAATTTCCTTTTGATAGTTTTCTGTGAGAAATTGATCTCGATTAGTCCAAATTCCCAGGTTGCTTTCTTTAAAAGGTCTCTATCCGGTTTTATATATACATTCTCTGCCCCTTTCATTCCCTTATTTACATATCTATAGATAACTATAACCTCTATTAGTTGTTTTTGAAGTGTTATTACAGTTTCTCTTCAGGACCCCAGAGATCTGGCTGAATCAAAGCAGTATCTTATCAACACCATCATGGTTTGATTATACTTGCTACCTAGGAGATCATAATATACCTAGTTAATGAAACATCTCTAAACTTAAGCCAGGGAGCATTAATAGCATCTGAAAGATGTTCCCTTTGTCATGTCAGATTATGAAAATTCAACTTGTACTTTTCCTCTGGTAGATGAATGGTGGTGTGCTCAAACTGTTCCCTCTGAATAGAGTCTTTTGTATCATAGCCTTGGAGACCACTATTCAAATTCTAGAACGACTTCTTTTCCACTGTAGGTCCAAATATTGCTTATATCCAGATGATTGCTTTTGGAACCAGGACCAAATTGTTTTCTCTGTCAGTGATCACATATTGGAGAAAGAAAGAGAGAGTTGTGTAAAGAGTAATTTTGAATATTTGTTGTCAGAACAGTGGTTATATTTTTTCCTAATTCTGAAAATACTTATAATCTGCCCAACTAAAAATTAATGGTAAATTATAAATTCTCTATATGGTCCAGAGAAGTCATGTTTTCCAGTAGAGCTTGTAATTTGGCTTTTATTAGCTACCAAGTTGGGAGAAAGGGAGGGGTGAGAAGGGGGAAATGTTTGGAATCTGTCTACCAGTAAATTTTACTGCCATGTTCACAATAGCTGGGAAGATTTATTATTTCAGGGAATGGTCTGTTTGTCATGTACAGTATATTGCCTTTCAGACTAAATTGCAGTCTGCTAGAGAGAGGCCTGTTCCTAAAAGCAACTTGAGGAGGCTTTTCTGGTGTTGAATTTCAAAAGTAGTAGAATATATTTTCAATGGCATTTTCCTATAAGAATGCTATTAGATACTTTGCAGAATAAAATATGTTTGAGTCCTCCAGGCAGATGAACAAATAGCTTTTAAGAAGAATGATCACTCATGATGGCTCATTGACTGTCCAATGTTTAAAGGGTCCAGGTCATGTGAGACTCTGTAATGGTATAAAACTGCTGTTCCATAAGCTTAAATGTTTGAATTATATAGTCTCAATAGCAAAACTTCAATATTTTTACGCAATATTTCTGAAAACTGGAGGTTGCTGCAATACTTTTTGAAAATGAATAATACAGACACTGAATTTTATTTCATGTTAAATTTAAATTGATATTCCATTTTAAGCCCCTGAGACCTAGAATTACTTTTGTTTCAGGGTGTTAAGGTGTTTGGTAAGCTTTCTTTTGTGTTTTGTGTGTGGGGTCATTTGGGGTTTTTTGCTTTATTTTGTTTTTGCTTTTGCTGTATGCACGTGAGTGTTAATGGATACACTAATGGATACACGTGAGCTTCACTTTCTTTGTGACTGCAATGTCTAGGTAACCAGGAGATTATCTAAATTTTAGAATTTTTCAGGGGAAAACTGATCTCTTTAGTATTGAAGGCCTAAAATGACTAGTTGCTGAGATATGGGATTCCAGAATGCTAAAAGACCCAGATAAAGCTGCCAAATCAATTAAAACCAACATTTAATTTTCTACCTCATGTATAAGTAACATCACTAACATGTGAAACTTGTGATTATCATAAAATTACTGACTTGAATTCAATATTTGGTTGTTTTTTTTTAAATAAGGAACTTTTTTCTTTGATCCTCCTTAGTGTAAATCAGAAAAAGTTTCATATTGGGACATAATTAAACTGGTGTATCCTGATGACATTTTTGTTTGCTCATTTTTAGAATGCTATAGCATTAGGAGTTAGGCTTACTTCTTAGATAAAGACCTTGCTTTCATCCGCCCCCCACCAACAAAAGAAACAGAAATTGATTAAGAACAGTAAAAACCTGGGATTGGGGGGGGGGGAAGGGAAACTTCATTCAAGTTGTTTTGGGACCAGAACCAAGGACTAAAGACTTATTTGCTTGAAAATCAAACTACTGATTGTAGCCTGAATCTTTATCTCAACTAAGCTTTATTGGGACAGTAATGTAGGATCAGTGAAATTAGTCATTTAGTTTTTGGCAGGCATAAACTTCAGTCAGCTTGTTGTTTTTAATGCCTGTGAATAAAGTTGTTCTCTTCAAGCACAAGACACTGATGTTGTCAGAAAACTAAAATGTTACCTCATAAGAATGATTGGGTACTGCAGAAAATCAGCATATATCATCCACACAAGATTGCAGTCCTTGAATTGTGCTGCTTTTATCTCTAGATTGAGTCAAATTCACATTTATGTTCCATATGCTAATTAACCAATGAGGAGATATTTTAGTTCAAGCCATATTTTGGTTTACAAGGCACTAGCAAGATTGAGTGCCATAAGTAATGGGCTCCATTATTCATGTGGCATTTAAAATATATTTCAAAAAATGTAATTACAAATAATAAAATATGGAGAGTGATCAGCTTACTGGCTTGGTTTCTGGTGGGCACTATGAAACAGAATTAGCATGAAATGAATCTAAAATGGGAATTATGCATACAGTGAGAATAATTTTTTGATCTATTGGGAGAATTAAAAAACACATTTTCAGGTGGGATTTCTTGGTTAACATTGCATATCTCAGAATCAGCTGTTTTCTGAGACAAGAGCTTCATCCCATGGTAACATTTTGGAATACTAATGTTATCTTTGATCTGGTTAGTGGTATTATTTTAATTGTTAAATCTTCCTATTTAATTGTAGTTTGCTCGATTTGAGATTACTTGGACATCCGCTGATGAGATACAGAGAGGGGGAGAAAAAAGAATCTTGAAAGACAAGATAAAAAGGAGAAAGGATCTTCAGATTTAAACCCAGTAATTAAGATTTCATGGTGCCATTGAGCATTCCTCCTCCCCTCCCCAAATGACTTTTCTGGCAGCCATGATAACAATATATGTATGTATATTTGGCCTCTGATGAAAGATTCTGCAAAACCCCTTGCATTTTTAGATAAACCTTGAAATTTTGTATTTGCATTCACTCAAGGCTTTTCTTATAAACCATACACACTAACTTCTCATTTTAAAATATT